CAAGGCACACACATTCATTCCATTGCAGCAACCTTGCCTCTCGTCCAACCTGCCTCTGTCATTTCACCTCTCTGATACTGGGATGAAAATGTAAATATAATACAAGCCCAGACTTTAGGAAGCTCATGGTCTGGTTGAGAACACAAACCAAGGGTTATGATCTGGTACCGTGAAGGCCTCAAAAAAGAAGTACAGAATTGGGGGTGATAATGACGTGTCAACATAGGATTAGTTGTAACAGCTGGTGCAGGAGGTTGATGGTGGGGAGGCTGTGAGTGTTGGGGGGTGGGGAGGCAGGACATATATGGGAACTCTCTGTACTTTCAACAGTTTCGCTGTGAACCTGAAACTGCTCTACAAACTGCATTCCAATCTCAAAGCAGACAGGCGTTATCCTAAGGAAGGAAGGAGTGAGCATCGCTTCGTGGGCGATGGTGGTGGACAGAGACGTGTCAGCTGAACTCTGAGTAAAACCAGACAGCTTCCAAGAGGCCACAGGCGAGGAAAGAGTGGTGGTGAGGGAACTCTTTAAGTAGGACTTTTTAAATGACCGATCATGGTATCTTTTTGAGTATGAAAATCTAACCAAGGAATCAAGCTTGGCCATGAAAGCAAAGCTCATCCGCCATTCCGCCAGGCTTTGCAGTCTGCAGCGACATTTGCAGGGCATACCTGAGCGGTGACATGACAAAGGGACCTTCAGAAGCGATGGGTGACAGCAGATGGATCCATCGCGGGCAGTTCTGCAGAGGAACGTGGCCGCCACTAAGCATCGTGCCACAAAGTGTATTAACTGCGACAGGAAATCACTGTCATCGCTGCTACAGACATTGGATCTCAAAGTTATAATCGATAGGAGAGAGCGGTCGTGGGGGTCACCGCAGCAGGGTCTGAGGAAACGGAACGGTCCCTTCTTTGTGTTCAGCTGAGTGAGGCAGAGCTGACCTCTGACCCCAGCTGTGACCCTCAGCGAGGCCTTGACCCCTCGGAAGCAGGACGGAATGACCCCGCCTGGCAGGACTGTGCTGAGAATAAACACAGCGGAGCACCTGCAGTGGAGAGACACACGGGTCCCGTGCTTCTACGAGAGCCAAGCTGGGAAGCTGCGGCAGCGGGCGGTGTGCAGAGGGAGCGTCTACGTGGACTGTGAACCTCGGTAAGTAACAATCAAGATAAATGTGTGATTATTTCAGGCCTGGCAATACAGATCTAGGCAGGACATCCGTTATATCTACATGTTAAACAGACATGAATTATTCCAAGTCTGATGCTATAATGGAGACCACCTGTCATTATACATTTATCAAAACTCACATAAAACCAACTGTGTCCTGCATGCTGCGGACTTTGGGTGATAAGGACACATCCACTCAGGTTCATCGAGTTCACACCTGTCGCGCTCTGGTGGTGGTGGGGAGGCTGTGAGGGGCGGCAGGGGGTCTGTGGGGACTCTGTTCTTTCAGCGCTATTTTGCTGTGAACCTGAAACTGCTCTAAAAAATATAGTCTACTTTTATAAAATAGACATCACTTATCCTACACTGAGGCAACTGAGTCACAAAGGGACTGTGGCTGGGGACGAGAAGACTGCTAGATTAAAACAGGATTAGACATTGTGGAAACACGTTGCTTTACAAGAACAGTAACTTCAGGAAGACATCAGTGCTAAAATAAGCGAGCCCCTGAGGTCAGAGGTGTTCTGGGAGGAAATACATTCAGGGTCTTGTGAAATTCTCCCAGGGAAGCTGGTGAAACCCAACAAGGAAGTGGCCACATGTCCTGGGTTTGGCCTTGAGGAGAGTATATAAGGGCTCCCCCTGCAGAAGGGGCATCAGACCTCCCTCACCTCCTGAATCCTCCCTGCTCATCTCTCCTGAGTCCTCTCTACTGATACCATGGGGTGCTGTGGCTGTGGTGGCCGTGGCTGTGGTGGCTGTGGTGGCTGTGGTGGTGGCTGCGGTGGCTGTGGTGGCGGCTGTGGCTGCGGTGGCTGTGGTGGTGGCTGCGGTGGCTGCGGTGGCTGCTGCTGCATCCCCGTGGTCTGCTGCTGCCGCCCCTGTGGCTGTGGCTCCTGTGGCTGCGGCTCCTGTGGCTGTGGCTCCTGTGGCTGCGGCTCCTGTGGCTGTGGGAAGGGCTGTTGTCAGCAGAAGTGCTGCCAGTGTAAGTGCTGCTGCCAGAAGCAATGCTGCTGCTAGGCAGTGGCTCTGCCTCTAGGTCAGAGCTGCCTGGGGCTTTGCTCCCAGCATTTGGTAAGACTGTCCTCCTTCCCCCACCTGCTGCCCCCTGTCCTGGGTCCTCGATGCTTTGCAATTGCTCATTCTGTCCCCTGCACTCTGGAGATGCAGGGCTGCTTGTTTCCCTTCAGCCTGGTCCCATGATGACATCAGTTTCTTCTCCCTGTATCTTCCAGAACTGAGCGGCAAGGAGCACTGTTCTCTGTCATCTTTGGAATCCTGTCTCCATTTGGAAAAAAGATAAAAGACCACCATATATTATCACTATTAGGGGGTGGGAACACAGACACCCACATCAAAAGTCGATTTATGTTATGAGTTTAACAAAGTAAAGTCATGATAACTAATATTTCATTTTATTAAAAAATTTACTTATGATCAAGTTTTTGTAAATGCATTATCTTCTTCCCATTTGTATGTCTCTGTAAAAAAAAAAAGCAACTATTTTTTAATAAAAAAAAATATATATATATATTCTATTCTAACGTGTCTCTGTTCTAAATGACGTATACACTCCCATGGCTGAGGACAATAGAACAAAAGATGAAGGGTACTATTTCAAGACTTGGGATACGTTCCAGTTCAGGAGTGATTGGTCTACACTGTCCTATACTGGGTTTGACAAAAAGATACAAAAGGGTGGTCAGTGCCATCGAGGGACATTCCTGTGCTCTACCGACGCTCTCATGAAGTCTGTGTCTGTAACCGAATTCTGGCTGTAATGTGTGTCGACAGCCCTTAGCTTTCCTCCAGCATTCCACGTATTTTTCACTCGCTCATTCATTCAGCGAATAGGTGAGTGCTATCCTGGGCCAGGTATTCAGCCAAGCACGAGATCTAAAGATAAACAAGCCTTCGCTTCCAAGGGCTGGCCTCCGAGAGGGAAACAGAGAGAGCGATGACAACACAGCTCCCATGTCAGACCGGTTCCCTGGTAGACTTTTCTCCACTCCTACCCAACGATTCTAATAGATTCTCATGTACACTACTGGAATCACATCATTAAGTACCAACATGAGACTCTCAGTGCATTTTCTGGGTAAGTCGACCAAGTGAATGGTGTACACTTTCCACAGGGCTTTTCCTTTGGCCTCCCGGCAGCATTGGCTCAGCTGCTAATTGCCTTCTCCCTAGTATGCGGACCTCAGCCCCCCTCCTTCCTCCTTCCTCCTTCCTGGTGACTCCCTCACCTCCTTCGTCCTTCCCTGCTGCTCCTCTCCAGCCTCATCTGTAAGTCCTTTCCCAACACTGACGCCCCAAGGCTCAGACTGTAGCTCTGGTCTCCGTCATTCCACATCTTCATCTGATTTCCCTCTTTTTTCCTTGTCCATAGCACTTAACACTTTCGAATAAACGCTAAAATCTATTAATTTATCGTGTTTACTCTACAGTGTCCCCTCTGCCTAACCCCATGTCCAAATGGAATATACACTCTACAAAGCAAAGATTTCTAACTCTTGTTCACTGATATATCTCAAAGACCTCAAACAGCATCTGGTATGAACTATGGTACTCACTAAATAGGATATTAATGAATAGGTGATTCTAAACTCTTTTAATTATAGAAAATGCCAAACATACACAAAAGTGGACAATAGTACAATAAATTCCTAAGAACCATCATCCAAGTCAACAACTACCATCACATGGCCCATCTCTGGTCATCTATGACATCACCCACACCCCGCTACCACTGGATCACATGGAACTAAATTTAAACCTCATGTCAACTCATCAGAAATATGTTTACTTTTCTAAGAATGAATGAATTCCTCATCATCTCTATTCGGTTTAGACTATGCCTATGAGATATACAAGAAATACAGAAGTAAATTTCTCAAGGTCCAAACTGAGGTCGTCTCTGGGCGAAAGGTGTGGAGGAAATCATGACACTCTCAACCTTTAGGAAAATGTCACAGTGTTCTCTGGGAGGGCCCTCAAGTTTCCAAGGGCATCTGTCCCACTATCAACAGGGCATTGCCACTCCCAACGTGCATCACGGTAATTTATAGGCAGATTTCCGCAAATCATTGGAGGGTGCGAATAGAAAATCCAAACTAATTGGATGGTGACCCAAGACACCAGGGGGGTGTAAATCAATTTCATTCCCACTAGCAGCCTTTAGAAACCAAGCAGGGTTTATCTTGGGAGAGGATTTTTCGTTTCCCCCAACAGCTAAACCATTTTTTTTAATTCTATTTCAACCAATGAGAACTTTGTAATGCTTTTTCAAACCCTTACTTAATAAAAAGTATTTATTAAATAAAGTATTTGTATTAGAAAATTCTCAAAGTACCAGGAAACCACCCCCACCCACCACCTTTAAAGAAAATACATAATGACTATAAACACTGACCCGAGAGTCAGGATGTCCAGGGGAACATCAGAAAGTCCGGGGTTCTTCATGTGTCGGTCTTACCTCTTTCTGTCTGTTCCTTCGTACGCACAATGGGCATCAGAGCTGTGCCTTCCTCATACGATTCTGGAAGAAACAAATGGATGTCCGGGAAAGGACGCCTACATAGATCGACATCGCGCTCAGTTCACCCCGCTTTATTGTGTGGACACTGGGCACCCTCACTCACAGTGCTTCACGTTCCCAACTTTAAGTTCTGAATTGGGGGCCCGCCGGCGGACGGCGGATTTCCGCCTCCGGTTTAAAGCTCTGGGCGCCTGTGATTGGCAGACACAAGACGCTGGGCGGGGCCTCGGGGCTCGGCCCCGCCCCCACCCCTACCCTCGGCGCCCGGCTGCACGCGCTGTGACCTTGCAGCCAAGGCTCGGGCTGCCCGGGCTGCTGTTCCAGGGATGTGAGCGACCTGGCCCGCAAACCCGTCCCTAGGTAAGAGAGGCTCTGGGAGGCGAGTGACTTGAAGAGGTGCATGATCTCTGGGCCGCAGCACTTCCGCGTCCCCTTTCGGGGCGCAGAGGCGGCGGGTCCCTGGCGACGCGTGGGCTCCTGCGGCTGCCGCCTGGGGCTCTCCAGCCCGCGCCCCAAGGGGGTGTGCCTCCCCCTGCACTGCCAGCCTGTGGAAGGCAGGGGAGCCCACCGGTCCGCTGCAGAAGCCTCAGCACAGAATGGCAACGCCCCACCTAACACTCGCGGGGAGACCCGCGTGCGGGACAGAAGGGGGCTTGGAAGGCAGAGAGCTGGGGCTCCACCGAGATCTCCTTTACTCGAAACCAAGAGAAAACGCGGCTGCCCAGGGAGGGTACCCAATTCATCAGCTAACCTGTGCAGCCTGATGGGGCAGGTCAGGGTTGCGGCTGGTCATAAGCAAAAGTCCAAGCTTGAACCGGGCTTACCCTTCTCTGTCAGGCTGTCAATCAGTATTAGTTTTCTTATCAATCTGTATTAGTTCATTATCAGCTAGGGAAGGTAGCTTCGGTAACTTGCACTAGTTCCCCCAGATTCCCATTTCTTTTTTTGTTTTGCTTATAGTGTTTTTTTCGTCCACACATGTTTCGTTTTATGCAGTCAATTCATTTTTTTATTTTTTTTATTTTTACTTCTAGGATTTACTTTAGAAAGGTTTGTGGTTATAAAATAACTCTTGCATGTTTTCCTCTAGTATTTTTGTAGTTTCATTCTTTTACATCTGCATATTGATAAAGTTATTCTAGCAGTCTTGGGTTCAATTTAATTGTTCCTTTGAAACAAAAATTTTTCCAATCTTAGTAAATATTCCATCTTTTTCTTCCTCTTGTATGAGATGCTGTTTTTATTACACTTTAGAATCCCATATGAATTAGGGACTAATTCAGAATTTTCTACTCTCTTTTATTGGACTGTCTCTTCATGCTTCTGACTGTTACTGTAACTAACTAAGGACTGAGAGTAGAATTTTATTCTCTGCAAATAATTTATCTTATTTTTGCACTTAAAAAAGCAAGCATTTTCTTGGTACTTCCTTATTAATTTTCCAAATAAAATTTAGAATCACCTTAGTAGTTCTGGAAAAAAAGAAACATGTTGTAGTTTTTTGCTGTGATAAGACTTATACATTTATTTAGGAAGCCTGATATCTTCATATATATTTTTTCTTAACCAATAATAAGTTTTTCTATATGTCTTGGTGTTACTTCATAATCTCCATAACTATTATAAAGCATATTCATTTAATATGTCTTACCCACTTATTAAATAACTTAAATTTAATTGCTTTTAAATTAGTTTTGTCCTACCATTAATGAAGTCTTTTACTAAGTAATTATATCATGAAAACTATCGTTTGCTGTATACTTACTCTCTGTACTACTATCTCTGTTTTTAGTTGAGTCTCTTGGGTGTATATTTATAGTTACTAGAATAGTAATAGTTTTATCTCCTCCTTTCCAATTTTTGACTTCTCATTTTTTTGCTTGTCTAATTGTGTTGGCTAATATCTCTAGTACAGTAAGTTAAATGAGAAGGATATAAGAAAGGGTGAAAGAAATAAAGTTTTTTTAAAACCTCTGCTACAGATATCTGAGCACATTTGTGTCTCCGAAGGCAAATGGTGTGTTTTCATTAAGGTGCGTATTTTAAATAGAACAAAACCCTATTGAATTCCACTATGTTTTTCTTCCAACTGTCTTAGTGAAACAGACGAAAACATTCATTTCCTTCCGTCGTTGCTAGTTATAGATCAACAATGGTTACTCAAGGTTGGGGAATGGGAAATGCAATTCAAGCACAAGCGTTCAAAGATAAAGTTATTTGGCCTGTTGTCCCTTCACAGTTCAGGTGACATTCTGTCCTGTGCATTATTTACCTTTCAGAAATCTCTGTCTGCACTGTGCGAGCCCAGCTGTGTTTCTGCTGGTTGAATTCGCCGTGGGCGCTCGGGGGGAACATGAGAAGGAAGCTGTACTGAGCGCCCAGTTGGTGCCTAGACCCAGATGGAGCAACTCCCGAGACCACCCTGGGAGATGGGTGTAAGTATCCGCATTTTAAGAGGAGGCTTGGAGAGGTTAAGTACCTGCACGAACAGGGATGGGGCCGGAGAATCATGAACTTCAAACTCCAAAGCCATGCTCTTTCTAGTGGGCCACGTTGTCCATGGAAAACCCAAGCCTGGAGAGGAAAAACAAAAAACCAAGCCTAAATCTGGTAAGGTCTGCAGTGAGCTGTCAAAATATTAGAACCGATTTGGTAATTTAGCAATGATGAGTAAATCATTTAGGTTCAGAAGAATAAATTGGAGGTTATTTGAATGGTAACGAGCATTAAAAGAAAATGTCTGGGAAAGGATAAAATCGTGAATCTCATGCAGATATAAAAACGAATACTGGTAAAAATGTTCCAACCAGGTCAAAGAAGAATCCAAGGAATGTGTGCATGTATAGATCAGGAAAACTAGGTTATCATGTGAGAGAGGGGAGGAGAGTTATTGCCTCAGAGTTCATTTATGTGGCAAGAGACAAGAATGAGCTCACATTGTTTTCAGTTATTGGAATTGACAAAGCTGAAAAACAGCTCAAACAATGCAGAGCTTCTCTGTGAAGGATAAAATTTCCCTCCCGTTCCAGCCCTCCACATGCATTTGACCGATTTCTCACGACCATTTCATCAGCGATGGATGGTTTGCGGACTCCGCCGAGCCCGTCCTGGATTTATCCCACCGTCATCCTCTGCTTGTTTGGATTTTTTTCTATGATGAGACCCTCTGAGCCCTTCCTCATCCCGTATTTATCTGGACCAGACAAAAACCTGACCACCACGGAGGTAAGTGAATATCCGTACTTATCTCAATGCGGTTATTGGTACAGAGATTGAACAAGAGCATAGATGGGGCTTCATTCAACTTGAAATAAGATGAACATACTGACTGACTTCACTGAATCACATTTTCATGGCATTTGTTATTTAACAGAACTGTTCAAACTGTTCCTTCCTCCTCACACTTGCAAAAATGGGAAACCAAAATACATTACAGGTGTAATCAATATTTTAACATGTGTACAGTTGTAACATTGGTCCTACATGAGAACCATTCAGGTCTCCACTGATTCTATGGTGCTAATCCTAGTAAGCTCCCAGGCTGATGATGCATGAGCAGACGCTGATAAAGAATCGCTGTATTTCTCTAGGGCACTTACTCGGTTTTTAAAAACTATCTACCAGCATTATCTTCCCCAGAAGGCCACATTTTTATACTTAAAAGATCCACCCCACCCCCCTTGTTTTAATAAGAAGTGCAGCAAGGACCCAACAACTGGGGCATGACTCTGGGCTCGTTTTAAAATCTCCAACCAGAGCTGTGCAAACCTGCAGAGGATGTGGCTTCCCTGGAAGACTAATTGATGACGGTCTCCTTGGTGCTGAGGTGGCAAGGACAGAGGTGAACTTGCGTGTGGTGTAAGATCACTTAGAGTCAACTGTGTTTCAAAGATTCCCAGATGGAAGCATGTCATGGTTAGGGCAAAACAAACGACAAATACAGATTCAGAGTCAGTCGGTGAACCCCCTGTGGTCTGCTTCTGCGACCACAGTGGGCCAGGTCATGTATCCACCCTCCAATCACAACTCAGTCACGCTAGCCTTTCAGATCACTGAACTTTCCCTCGTCACCGGCACTTCACCCACGCACGTTGCTGTAGGAAGCAGAAGGGATAGAGCAAAGGCCGGGATGACCGGGCTGCACCTGCACCCATCATGACCCCCAAACAAACAGCTTTTCAGTCCTTTCTCCCTATGAATGAACCTTGAGGTCCCGTGTATTTCTAACTAAATCCATGATATAAACCATATTAAACAGGGTGGGGGCAGAATTGAGACAAATCGGTAGAATTGGAAGAAAGGGGGTTTGGGAGCCCAGCAACTTTGACCGGGAAAGATATTAAATGCATCACTTTTTCCCACTCCGTAGTTCTGCAGGGCTATTTACTCTTTGATCTTCGTGTATATATATATATATATCCAGACTTTGAATGGGCCGACATTTTTTTTTTACCTAGGGATGAATGAAATAAAGAGATTCTTTTAGCATTGTAGCCTCTCTCTCTAATGTCAATCTTTGAACAGGAAGCGGATGGCATTTTTATTAAATTTATTTGGGCGGCGTAGGTTAATAAAATTATATAGGTTTCAGGTGTATAATTCCATGGGAATGGTATTTTTTTTAAAGAGCCTGAAGAAAATGGAAGTGTCTGTTGAGTAATTTTTGACTGATACTCAAATGCACATATTTCTAAACACAATGTATTTCAGATTGTACCCATACTCTCCTACTGAGACGTGCGGTAGTATATAATTATTTTGTGGGGCACAGAGCTCTGTTCTCCTAGTGCCTTTCTTGAAAATCCATTGTCCAGTGTTCTTTTTCATCATATGAAGCACATCCAATTTGATTGCATACCGAACTTGATACTGTGCAAGCAACGGGTACCTTCGTATCTACACAGCGGAGAAAGGTGCTCTTTTCGTTTCCCAGGGCTACATGGTCACACGATCCTTTTTTGAACTTGGCAGATGACCAATGAGATCTTCCCCGTGTGGACGTACTCCTACCTGGTGCTGCTGCTCCCCGTGTTCATCCTCACCGATTACGTCCGCTACAAGCCAGTCATCCTCCTCCAAGGGATTAGCTTCATCATCACCTGGCTGCTGCTCTTGTTTGGCCAAGGAGTGAAAGCCATGCAGGCAGTGGAGTTCTTCTACGGAATGGTCACCGCCACCGAGGTGGCCTACTTTGCCTACATATACAGCGTGGTCAGCCCGGAGCACTACCAGAAGGTGAGCAGCTACTGCAGAGGCATCACGCTGGTGGCCTACACCACCGCCTCGGTGCTGGCCCAACTCTTGGTGTCCCTGGCCAAAATCTCATACTTTTACCTCAACGTCATATCCTTGGCCTCTGTCTCTGTGGCTTTCCTTGTCTCACTCTTTCTACCAATGCCCAAGAAAAGCATGTTTTTTCATGCAAAACCCAGCAAAGAAGTTCAGAAGCCAACAAGCATGGATGCAGCGTTAAATGAAGCACATGAGAAAGAAGCGTTTGGTTGCAGTGAGGAGAAATCCACGTCAGAAATCGCCACCACTTTGGGGAACCTGGATGACGGGCAGCTGAACCACCCGAAGCCAGAAAACGTCGCTCTGAAAGTTTTCGTGCAGTGGTTCCAAGATCTGAAGGAGTGCTACTCCTCCAAGCGTCTTCTGTACTGGTCCCTGTGGTGGGCGCTCTCCACAGCAGGTTTTAACCAGATTTTGAACTACATTCAAGTCCTGTGGGACTACAAGGCGCCCTCCCAAAATTCTTTCATCTATAATGGGGCAGTAGAAGCTATTGCAACCTTTGGAGGTAAGTCTACCTTGATTGATTTTTCTCTGATGGGCTACCCATTAAGCTCATTTTCCCCGTTGCTATACTTCCCCATGGTGGTCAGTTAGCTCTGTCCAGAGGGCATATGAATCCTGTTTAGGAATGGGAGGTACTGGGAAAAGGAAAGAGGCACCTGACACTTCTCTATTATATGTCACAACAAGAAACTCAGGACGGCGCACCAAACAGTGAAATTCTAGCCAGATTCCTAAGATTTCATTTCATTATCAGGAAAGGTGTTCATAATGCCCCTGTTCTAGAGTCGTTCCTAATGTCAAAGGGCACATACACATCTTGAACATCAGTAGGATCTTGTATTATTTTAGAAAGTCAGTTGAGCTATTCAGGCTTCTGAATTATCACTGGAAGAGCTTGGGTTAGTGGAGACGTTGATTTAGCTAGCGCCCACCTTTAGAAGTCGGAGGCTGTGCACCAAAAACATTCCAAAGTCGCTTTCTTATGGGAGGGAGAGGGGGAGGGGAAGATACATGAGAGTCGGGGTTCCAATAATATCAGGGAAATCTGCCTCTGAACTTTACAATAAATATTTTTATCCTGGTAAATGGAAATCACACGTCACATGAGACTTTGAAGATATTTTTTAGGAAGTAGGAGATTTCCACACCCTTATTTACAAAGAGTTTCAGACAACTCTCGCGGTGTCTGTTTATTGTTCTCTCCCCTTTGGGAGACTTCAGTTTAACTCCCAGAAACCAGCCAGTGCTGAAATGCTCCCGACATTATTTCTCCTGCAACCAAATTCTAGGGGGAAGAACAGTTCTTTGACCCATCATTCTTTCCTAGATCAAATTAATTAATTAATCCAATGTCAGTAATTTAAAACATAAATACCTTCCATTTTGTCAAAGAGAGCTATAATTACTAACCCTAATTAGTCACTTGTTCAACCTCTTAAACTCTATGGGTCGGTGTATATCTCTCCACCCAAAGCCTCAAGTAAATTGGGCCAGATTTGAAGATGTGAAAATGGACACTGGAATTAAGATCAATCAAGATTAATCTTATTAATAATTATTATAATTGGTAATTATCATAGATAATCATGTAAATAAGATGTAATGTGAATATATATGACATGTAAACATAATAAAATGTAAATATATAAAGATGAATAATAAAGACTAAAACTTACTACCCAGTGCAACACATCTGTCACCCATCACTGAAAAAGAACTTGCTATAAAAATGATAAAGAAAGGCAAATATGGACAGGCCAGGTGTAGCCCCGAGGAAGTGGTTGGTCCCCTTCTATGCCTTCTCTTGCCTGTTGTATTGAGTGACTGGGTTTACGTCTCATTTCTCCCCCACTCTACCATGGTTAGGAACCTTTTTGGCCCTTCTGCCTAGTACAGTGCTTGGCATGTAGACAAGGCTAATTACAATGTGACAACTAAATGATTGAAAGAATAGGAAGTAAGAGAGAAGCCAAGGAACACATGGCGGAGAGGGGGATACATCTGCATTGAGGAGGGTCCCGCTATCTGCACACATTTTGAAAGCAGTATGTCCCTCTTTTAGAATTGCCGAGACCTGGGTTTCTAAGAGAGCATGCTGGGGTTTCCCAGTGCAAAGTCAACAGGTGTGATCTTCCTTAATGTTTCCTTGTCAGGAGCGGTGGCTGCCTTTGCAGTGGGTTATGTGAAAGTCAACTGGGACCTGCTGGGAGAGCTGGCCCTGGCCATCTTCTCGGTGGTCAATGCCAGCTCCCTGTTTCTCATGCACTACACTGCCAACATCTGGGCATGCTACGCTGGCTATTTGATCTTCAAGTCCAGCTACATGCTTCTTATAACCATAGCAGTGTGAGTATTACCAACCATTTCTCTCTACCCCTAAAACGACACCATATTCTCTCTCCTACAGTCTTACAATACCTTCGAGAACTTCAGAAGGCGTTTAATCAATCGCAATATTCAACGCTGACTACTTCAGATTAAGTTAGACACAACGAAGCCATCTTTTTATTTGACTATTTGCCGTCTGAATATTACTTAGAGTAGTCATCAAGGAAAGACATTTTTAACTGGGCAGGTCTTGGTGGGTAGTCACAACCCAGGCACATGACTTTTTAGCAAAAGGTTTTTTCTTTGCCTTAAGCAAGCCCGGTCTGTTGTTTCTGTGCATCTAGTTTAACACACCTTTAAAGTAAGCCACAACTCCCCACAAGAAAGCACATAATTGTGTTAACTGTCCTGCAGTTCAGTCCCCACCTTGCTTTCTCCTGTGTCCCCGTCAGCTTCCTTAGCCCCCTTCATTTCAAATGCATGAAAGAAACTGCGAAAAACAGTGTTACTCTTGGGGATTGGAGCTTGCTCCCCAGCATACATCATCAGCATGGCTCAAGTAAACTCTGATCGAAATTCTCAAGAGAAAAGGTAATTTCAATTGGTTCATCAACCAAGAGCAATGACACCTTGTCAGGTTGTGATTTTTTTTATTTCAAGCATTTGCCATAACAAGGTGTGATGCGACCTGGTTTAGAGTGATTTGGTTTGGTTTCAGCCCTGTGCACTTGGCTGCTGGAGTATTTCCAAGCATGTACTTGAAACAGAATATTCTCAGCAAGTTATACAAAGTTGAGTATTGAAAAATGTAGATGCAAAGATTATAAGAAACTAAATTCCAGTGATCTTTTTTTTTTAATTTGGTTCCACATCTAAGTGCAAAGAAAACTGATCATACAGGAAATGTACTTTCGTAGTAACCAAAAAATATAAGAAACATTTGAATTTAAAATCACATAGAAAGGATCGAGACAAAAGCTTTATCAAGTTTTGTTTTTTAATTTGTGAAAAATGTTTGGTGAGTGATAGAACACAGAAACGTAAGCACCCTGGTAAAAGACAATGAAAGCAAAGGAAGAGATAAAACTTGTTAGTGAGTTTAGTTTTTTCACCGAAGTGTGTCCATTTAGTGAATCAAACTCATGTGACTTGAGTTTATTTTTTTCAGTGCGAGCATTTCGTTAAGGTAGCATTATATCCTCTCTTTTTATTTTAAGAATATTCAGAGCTCAAAGCCTTTACCTGCGTCGCAAGCATGGGGTTCTCAGTAACACACATTTGCCAGTCTGTCATAAGTGTTTTGTTACAAGATTTCAAAATCTATATACTTATTAAAAATTAATTCTAGACTCAACTGTACAACCAGTCATGGTCGGGATCTTCCAAAGGATAGTGCACCCCAAAGTTTGAAACTGCCAATACAGAAAATGGGCATTAAAATGAGTCTCTCTCCAAAAAAATCCCTCAGATTACGTGTTGCTTGTATTTTTATAAAAATTCACTGTAAAGCGGCATCTAAAATCATATTGCATCCAATATTCTCAAGTTATGAGGACGTAAAACATTTAGGTTTAACTTCTGGAAGTATTAAACTGAATAGGAGGAATTTTGCCCTATTTCGTTTACCTAATTTAATTAAGCCTTTCACTGTATTTCTAAACTCCCTTTCTTAGCTCTTCAGATAAGGTGTGCTGTTAACAAGAAATAAGCCAGTCAGAGAAAGACAAATGCCATATGATTTCACTTATATGTGGACTCTCATGAACAAAAGAGCCAAACACAATAGAAACAGACATAGATGCAGTGAACAGACCGGCAGCTGTCAGAGGGGCGAGGGTTGGGGGGCTGGGTGTAAAAGCTGAAGGGATTTAGCAGTACACTCGGTAGATGCAGAACAGCCACCGAGGTTCTAATTGCAGAGTGGAGAATACAGTCAATAGTGTCGAGATGATTGGATAAGGGGCCAGCTGGGTACTTGAGGGACCACTCTGCACAGTACATGGTTTTCCGGCCGGTTTGCTATACATCCGAAACAGGTACGGAATGGTACTGAATGGAAACTGTGGTTGAAAAGTAAAATAAGTAAATAAGTTTTAAATCTGGAGGAAAAAAAAAGACACTGCTTTCTCTCTCTTTCTTTGAATTTTTCAAGTACAGTTGACATACAATATTGTGTTAGTTTCAGGTGTACAGCATAGTGGTTAGCCATTTATCTAACTTAGGAAGTGATCACCTAGTAAGTCTAGTACCCATCTGACACCAGGCATGGTTCTTACAATATTACTGACTGTGTTCCTTGTGCTGGTCTTTGCGGTCCTGTGACTGTTTTTATAGCTGGTAACTTGTGCACCCCAATCCCTTCCCCTTTTCACCCATCTCCTCAGCCCCCATCCCCTCTGGCAGACTGCTTTTTCTTTTGGTTTTGTCTTTTAAAGATAAGAATCTCATGTATGGTCTTGTTAAAAGCGTATTCACTGTTTACCGATAGATTTCAGATTGCAGTTAATCTGAGCGTGGAGCGATACGCCTTGGTGTTTGGTATCAATACCTTCATTGCCTTGGTGATTCAGACCATTATAACGGTGATTGTGGTGGATCGGCGAGGGCTCCACCTGCCCATCGGCATTCAGGTAAGCTGTAGCACTGGTGATTAGAGTTGTTGGGGATATAGAATAACTGGGCGATCTCAAAGGATCTTACAACCTTACCACTGCCGATATTTAAATTTCTCAAATTCCTCGGCTCAGCAAATTTTAAAATAAGAAATTTCTTTTTTTTTAATTTACCTTTCATTTTAAAAGTATTACAGAAGCACCCTGCCCCTCTATTTTCCCCCATTGACCCCCTCCTCCTCACTCCCACCCCCTCCTGCCTTCCCCACACTATTGTCTGTGTCCATTGGTTATGCATATGTGCATATACGTTTTTTGGTTTCTCTCTCCCCACCCGCCACCTTCCCTCTGAGGTTCATCAGTCTAATAACCAATTGGTACCTTTCAATCCCTTCACCTTTTTTCAGTATAACACAGCAAGTAGTTTCAACCAATAATGACAATAGGTCGGCATTTACCTTTGGCTTCTAAAACATCATCAGACAACACATTGTTGTGCCCCATATGTCTCCTCTTCCTTTTACCATCTCGTTCCAAGGTTTGCCAAAATTCTTCGAGGAGGGACACCTGGGGCAGACCTCCAATTCCTGTTCCCTGCTCCACTGAGGGGCTTAAAATTAATCCAGTCTCTCATTTTACATATGGATCTGAGGGGGGACAGAGGTAGATAAGAAGGAAACTCAATGTCTAAAATTTAATCTTGAGGATATTACATACAGCATTGCACTATCCTCCAAACACAGGCACATAGATGAGTGGGATTTAGTATTTTTCCACTATTAACAACGTTAGCTAGAATTTGAACCAAGCAATCCTGGCTCTACACCCCACACTCTTAGTTACTGTATTGCTTACACTCTTCTACCTGGTTCTTCTAAGAAGGGAGAAGAACATACTGTGCAAACCCAAATATCCCATATTGGGGTGCTAGGCCTCCGTTACCTCATAACGCAAGCAAATCAGCAGCATCACTAAGAATAATCAGTGACAAAGATGGTCAGGGTTTATGTGTGTCTAATTCTATTTGTTTTCCTACAGTTTTTAGTTTATGGGAGTTACTTTGCCGTCATTGCCGGGATTTTCCTTATCAGAAGCCTGTACATTATCTGCTCAGCCAGCTGCCAAAAGGAAGTGCAGCGCTCTGCTCCGAGTCAGAGCGAGTAAGGGCCCTACCCAGAGGGACCAAGGAATGTCGTCCAGGGGACAAAGTCCTAGTCTTACATCAACCCCTGCAGGCTCTCAGCGAGGACTCTGCTGGTCGCAGTCACTACGTGCCGTACACTGACACTTCACAAGTCTGGATTCCAACGAACCTTTTCAAAACCACAACAAAATCTCAGCTTTAGACCAGCTATGTATATGCCCAGCTGAACTGGGGGCAGTCGGCAGGGCCCATTAAGCTCAACTGAACAGCCCATGGTGGGACCCCGGTGAATAGCGGTGACTGCAAAGTCGGTTTTGGACACCCAGTGGCGTGGAAACAAACCGGCCATCCTGGAGCTGATGTTCCCCATTAATGAGCAGAAGTGCCGGACTGACCCTGTTTCTTGGCTTAGCTATTTTTTTATCTTACCAACCAGGCACCACGTGGAACGCTTTTTGCCACGAGTCACTTTTCTTCTCCTTCCACTAAGTGTATTTCTGTGTAACACGGTGCTCTGAGAGAATTGCAGGTCTGATCCCATTTCTGCGGGCCCCTGTTTAATTCTGATAACGTGACATTATGAACAAGTGTCTATTTGATAACATCACCATTTGATTTTTTTGGTGACAGTTTTTCACTTTGTGCTCTGCTGAGCTTTGAAACGCTCCCCCGAGGGTAGCTCCAGACACGCCTGTGTGTCCACAGAATGACATTCTTGTCAATGCCTAGTGGCGCGAGGAGAGCAACGAGCGTTCTTCCTGTCGTGGTGCCAGATAGTGTTTTCATGCTATGTTGGTGTGATGTCTGTTTGGAACAGAAAACTTAAGTAGACATTTCCAGGGGTTTCTACAAGTGTTCATAAATGAGAAAATACTGATGGGGGTGAGGGAGAAACACCCAATGTTTAAAAGGCAGAGATTATGTTAAAATAATGTGTGCAGACATATTAGCGAGTCTTTCCAATTTTCTGATGAGTTGTGTGGAACATTGACTGAGCTTGTCTGCCCTTTGGAACGTTAATAGAGGACCATTGAGCAGTACGCCACTGGGAATAAAGAATGCTGAGTCATGATCTGTGTTTCAAATATACTTTTCTCCAAATTCCAAAATTCAATCACTGACTAAAAATTCAGCCCAAAAGCCAACACACACTTAGTGGAGGAAATGAATCATAACCCTACTTACGTCAAAAGCAAGAAATGGGTGACCACTATTATCCTTCTCATTTAACTTACTGTACTACAGATATTAGCCAACACAATTAGACAAAAAAATGAGAAGTCAAAAATTGGAAAGGAGGAGATAAAACTATTACTATTCTAGTAGCTATAAATATACACCCAAGAGACTCAACTAAAAACAGAGATAGTAGTACAGAGAGTAAGTATACAGCAAACAATAGTTTTCATGATACAATTACTTAGTAAAAGACTTCATTAATGGTAGGACAAAACTAATTTAAAAGCAATTAAATTTAAGTTATTTAATAAGTGTGTAAGACATATTAAATGAATATGCTTTATAATAGTTATGGAGATTATGAAGTAACACCAAGACATATAGAAAAACTTATTATTGGTTAAGAAAAAAATATATATGAAGATATCAGGCTTCCTAAATAAATGTATAAGTTAAGTCTTATCACAGCAAAAAACTACAACATGTTTCTTTTTTTCCAGAACTACTAACGTGATTCTAAATTTTATTTGGAAAATTAATAAGGAAGTACCAAGAAAATGCTTGCTTTTTTAAGTGGAAAAATAAGATAAATTATTTGCAGAGAATAAAACTCTACTCTCAGTCCTTAGTTACAGTAACAGAGTCAGGAGCATGAAGAGACAGTCCAATAAAAGAGAGTAGAAAATTCTGAATTAGTCCCTAATTCATATGGGATTCTAAAGTGTAGTAAAAACAGCATCTCATACAAGAGGACGAAAAAGATGGAATATTTAATGAGATTGGAAAAATTTTTGTTTCAAAGGAACAATTAAATTGAACCCAAGACTGCTAGAATAACTTTATCAATATGCAGATGTAAAAGAATGAAATTACAAAAATACTAGAGGAAAACATGCAACAATTATTTTATAACCACAAACCTTTCTAAAGTAAATCCTAGAAGTAAAAAAAAAATGAATTGACAGCATAAAATGAAACATGTGTGGAAGAAAAAAACACTATAAGCAAAACAAAAAAAGAAATGGGAATCTGGGAGAGCTAGTGCAAGTCATCGAAGCTACCTTCCCTAGCTGATAATGAACTAATACAGATTGATAAGAAAAAGATCAACAGCCTGACAGAGAAGGGTGTGAATAGAGAATTCAGAGAAAAGGAAATACAGATGGCTCAGACATGTGAAAGATGCTAAAATAAACTCATAAGAGAAATGTATATTAAAACAACAGTGAGATATTATTGTCAGCTGTCAGACAAGAAACGAATCCAAAAGTGACAATACATGTATTCTCGGAGAAGTCCACAGATAGTCTCAACACTTGTTGGGGTTGGGAGAGTACAAATTAGTTTTTAGATACAAAGGAAAATTCAGCACTCTCAAAATTACAAATCTATATATCTCTCTCCACCTATAGATTTCTTTGATAGAAATATACACCACCTATAAACTTGCATGCCTGGTAACCAACTTGTATAGAAGGGTTTTCATTGCATTACTGACTCTAGGAACAAAGGATTGAAAACTCTTTAAATGACATTAAAATGGGACAGGGAAAATATATTATGGTATACCAATGTCTTTATTTGTAATACTAACTAGCTAAAAAATAAAGGAGCTCTTTACATAGTGATTAAGGGCTCTAAATTAAATTAAATGATTAAGTGCAAAAAATCAACTGTCAAAATAATAATAACTGTAATGACTCATCATTTGCATAAAGGTGAGAAGAAAATAGGGTATTGGCTTATAGACACACACAACTTCTCTGGGAGAACAAACAAAAATAATTGCAACTATCGCCTGCTGGGGGTAGTGGGACCCAGGAAGGAGGTGTCATCTTTCCATGGCTTTGATGTTCTTGCCACCTCAGTTATCCATCTCCAAATTAAAATACTAATTTTTAAAAAGTGTTTTAACCTCATGGGAAATAAATTAGCATTGAAGAATGAGGAGCTGGAGATTTTTTGTGTGACCATTATGCTGTTTCTTACAGTTTTTGCAGTACATAAGAATAAGCCAGGGCGCATTTATAATGACAGAACACGCACAGGAGAAAGGATAGAGTGCTTTTCAATGTATCTTTATTGTTGAGAATACTGCAGATGGCCCCCTTTTTCCACCCCAATGACCCCCTGCACCTCATTCCTGCCCCCCCCACCCCACCCCCCGCCCCCCAGGCCTTCCCCACACCATTGTCTTGTCCATGGGTTATGCATATAAGTACTTTGGTTCATCTCTTCACCCCTCCCCCCACTTCCCTCTGAGATTCCTCCAAACACAGGTTGTTCGTAAGGTGCAGGGTTGTGTGACTGGTAGGAACACCTCATGGAGAAATACCTTCAGTGTCTCGCACCCAGTGGCTCTGAAACCACAGAACCGAGTTCACGAACTAGTGAGAGGAAGAAGGGCCGGGAAGGGCGCGAGCGTACTCATGCCCGAGAAGAAACCGAGAAGTCGCAGGTCCAGTTTGTTCCGACTTGCTCTTGCGTGACTTGGTGAAATGTTTAGGTCTGGCTTGAGGAAACGACCTGCAGACACAAGTGACTCACTCTGACAAGCAGCCAGGTCACAGGGCCTTGGGAAGAGCCACGCACGGTGGCGGTGTTGAAACATCTGCGGGCACTGCAGGCTTCCAGAGGAGATGCCAGGCGGTGGGGAGCGGCCGGCCTGGGGCCTGGCGGTGGCCTGCCCAGCGGCCCCGTCTCTTGCACACACCCGGGCACCATAGCAGAAGAAAAGCAGAGTCTCCGAGGGTCGTTTTTGGCATTTTATTCGGAAATTTCGGCTGCAGCTGTGTGGTGACTGGAAACAGCAGGAGGAGGAAAAGAAAGAGAAGTAGAAAGGTGTGCACGCAGACGTGGGCACACGGACCTGCCAAGCAGGAAAGCCACGTGGACACCCAACAGGTGGAGCCCACAGAAGCCTCGTCCCTGTGGCTGGGCTCCGCGGTGACTGGCGTTCGGGTGTTGGGCTGGGTTGACAACTTTGCAAAGGCCATTTCCTGCTTGTTGGACAGTTTTTCAAATAAAAAGGTCTGAGACCATTGGGTTGAAAGAGAGTTCAAAAGCCAGGGATATTGTCCGAAATAGTAAGTCCCAGGAGAACCAGGTGATAGCAAGTGGGGAGGTCTGGGAGCAGAAGCAGACAGGCTGGAGGGCGGTCTCATTACTAGACAGCAGGACCAGCCTCTCTTACCCAGCGACCACCCGGCCGCCTCGCAGCAGCCTCGCTTCTGGCAGCAGCATCACACTGGCAGCACTTCTGCTGACACAGCCCTTCCCGCAGCCACAGGAGCCGCAGCCACAGGAGCCGCAGCCACAGGAGCCACAGCCACAGGAGCCACAGCCACAGGGGTGGCAGCAGCAGCCCCCACGGCAGCAGGGGCAGCAGCCAACCCAGTAGGTTCTTCATGTACAGCTGCCACATCCACCACATCCACTGCAGCCCCCGCAGCCATAACACCCCATGGTGTCAGTAGAGAGGTGAGGAGGGACATGGGAGGTGAGGGAGCCCTGCTGGGGAGCCACACACCCTCTGGAGGAAGTGGAGGGTGCCAGGACACATGACGAATAGCTTCTTCCTTGTCAATTTTTGTTCCAATATCGAGAAAAGAATCTGGAATCTCTTTCATTTCTATTCTTACTAGAAACGTTTAGTTTAATAAAAGAATTAGACTTTAGGAGACATTTTTCTAAAAGGTTAGAGGACCCATTTGCACATTGAGAACCAGGCCTTGTAGACGTAAAATGCCGGGAGGTTGGAAACAAAGAAGGGCCGTTCGGGTGCCTCTGGGTTGGCAGACTCTGGGGAGGAGAAAGAAGGAGACACAGGGGTGAGGAATAGGCTACATGTATCTTCTCCTCTCCTGGGACTCAGCTTGAGTGCCCTGGATGTCCGCAGATCCCGTGTGGAGTGGCAGAGTCCCAGAACAGCTCCTGGCCCCTGCAGGTGGCACTGGCCAATGAGACCGCCCGAGTTCAGCGTGGCAGGAATAACATGATCCAGGACTTAAGGACTTCAGGGCAGACAGCCAGCACCAGGATCAAAGACAGACACACCCTGTCTTCCAGGCTACTGGCAGCACCAGAGAGAGCCAAAGTGGGGCTGTGCCATCCAGGAAGAGTCACGGGGTGTTGACAGGCACTGGAGAGTTTTACCCCTAAGTGAGCTACTTAACTTTATCCCATTATCATAACCACAGGAGATACCTAAATCTCCCTATTGTCTTATAAATGTATACCGTGGGAAATGTATATTACTCAGAGCAAACCATCACCACCTCTAAACACACAATTGAAAGTACATATTCTTTTGACGATGAGTAATATAGAAACATTATTCATTATGACATCCATGTCTAAAGAATTGACTTGCAAATTCAAAGGAAAAGATGGTGTCATGGATAGACAAAAGAAAATTAAAGATATTATATCGCCCGGCTGTTCTGGCTCAATGGATTGAGCATTGTCTCATGGACTGAGAGGTCCCAATTCAATTCCCAGTCAGGGCACATGCCCAGGGTTGTGAGCTCCATCCCCAGTAGGGGGTGTGCAAGAGGCAGGCTATCGATGTTTCTTTCTCATATTGATGTTTCTATCTCTCTTTCCCTTATTCTCTCTCTAAAATATCAATAAAAATATATTTTTAAAAAGATATTGCAAAATAATTTTGTAATTGAAATGTTACGTTATATTCCAACTAGGTTTTCCTTTAAATTTTGAGTTACATTAGAGTCATCATCACTCTGATTTCTCTCATTACCGCTCTCAAATTGATTATAGGGAAATTGCAAGAAAAAGTGCCAGATGTCTGATCAGTTTCCAAAAATGGGTAAGAGTCACTCCATGCCCTCAATATA